ACTGCTGAGCTACACAGCCTCTGACCTCAGACACACTGCTGACACACAGCTTCTGACCTCAGACACACTGCTGACACACAGCCTCTGACCTCAGACACACTGCTGACACACAGCCTCTGACCTCAGACACACTGCTGACACACAGCCTCTGACCTCAGACACACTGCTGAGCTACACAGCCTCTGACCTCAGACACACTGCTGAGCTACACAGCCTCTGACCTCAGACACACTGCTGAGCTACACAGCCTCTGACCTCAGACACACTGCTGACACACAGCCTCTGACCTCAGACACACTGCTGAGCTACACAGCCTCTGACCTCAGACACACTGCTGAGCTACAGCCTCTGACCTCAGACACACTGCTGACACACAGCCTCTGACCTCAGACACACTGCTGACACACAGCCTCTGACCTCAGACACACTGCTGACACACAGCCTCTGACCTCAGACACACTGCTGAGCTACAGCCTCTGACCTCAGACACACTGCTGAGCTACACAGCCTCTGACCTCAGACACACTGCTGAGCTACACAGCCTCTGACCTCAGACACACTGCTGAGCTACACAGCCTGTGACCTCAGACACACTGCTGACACACAGCCTCTGACCTCAGACACACGGCTGACACACAGCCTCTGACCTCAGACACACTGCTGAGCTACACAGCCTCTGACCTCAGACACACTGCTGACACACAGCCTCTGACCTCAGACACACTGCTGAGCTACACAGCCTCTGACCTCAGACACACTGCTGAGCTACAGCCCCTGACCTCAGACACACTGCTGAGCTACAGCCTCTGACCTCAGACACACTGCTGAGCTACACAGCCTCTGACCTCAGACACACTGCTGACACACAGCCTCTGACCTCAGACACACTGCTGAGCTACACAGCCTCTGACCTCAGACACACTGCTGAGCTACACAGCCTCTGACCTCAGACACAATGCTGAGATACACAGCCTCTGACCTCAGACACACTGCTGCGCTGCACAGCCTCTGACCTCAGACACACTGCTGACACACAGCCTCTGACCTCAGACACACTGCTGAGCTACAGCCCCTGACCTCAGACACACTGCTGAGCTACAGCCTCTGACCTCAGACACACTGCTGACACACAGCCTCTGACCTCAGACACACTGCTGAGCTACAGCCTCTGACCTCAGACACACTGCTGAGCTACACAGCCTGTGACCTCAGACACACTGCTGACACACAGCCTCTGACCTCAGACACACTGCTGAGCTACAGCCTCTGACCTCAGACACACTGCTGACACACAGCCTCTGACCTCAGACACACTGCTGACACACAGCCTCTGACCTCAGACACACTGCTAACACACAGCCTCTGACCTCAGACACACTGCTGACACACAGCCTCTGACCTCAGACACACTGCTGAGCTACACAGCCTCTGACCTCAGACACACTGCTGAGCTACACAGCCTCTGACCTCAGACACACTGCTGAGCTACACAGCCTCTGACCTCAGACACACTGCTGACACACAGCCTCTGACCTCAGACACACTGCTGAGCTACACAGCCTCTGACCTCAGACACACTGCTGACACACAGCCTCTGACCTCAGACACACTGCTGACACACAGCCTCTGACCTCAGACACACTGCTGACACACAGCCTCTGACCTCAGACACACTGCTGACACACAGCCTCTGACCTCAGACACACTGCTGAGCTACAGCCCCTGACCTCAGACACACTGCTGAGCTACAGCCTCTGACCTCAGACACACTGCTGAGCTACACAGCCTCTGACCTCAGACACACTGCTGCGCTGCACAGCCTCTGACCTCAGATACACTGCTGAGCTACACAGCCTCTGACCTCAGACACACTGCTGACACACAGCCTCTGACCTCAGACACACTGCTGAGCTACACAGCCTCTGACCTCAGACACACTGCTGAGCTACACAGCCTCTGACCTCAGACACACTGCTGAGCTACACAGCCTCTGACCTCAGACACACTGCTGACACACAGCCTCTGACCTCAGACACACTGCTGAGCTACACAGCCTCTGACCTCAGACACACTGCTGACACACAGCCTCTGACCTCAGACACACTGCTGACACACAGCCTCTGACCTCAGACACACTGCTGACACACAGCCTCTGACCTCAGACACACTGCTGACACACAGCCTCTGACCTCAGACACACTGCTGAGCTACACAGCCTCTGACCTCAGACACACTGCTGAGCTACACAGCCTCTGACCTCAGACACACTGCTGAGCTACACAGCCTGACCTCAGACACACTGCTGACACACAGCCTCTGACCTCAGACACACTGCTGAGCTACACAGCCTCTGACCTCAGACACACTGCTGAGCTACAGCGTCTGACCTCAGACACACTGCTGACACACAGCCTCTGACCTCAGACACACTGCTGACACACAGCCTCTGACCTCAGACACACTGCTGACACACAGCCTCTGACCTCAGACACACTGCTGACACACAGCCTGTGACCTCAGACACACTGCTGATACACAGCCTCTGACCTCAGACACACTGCTGACACACAGCCTCTGACCTCAGACACACTGCTGACACACAGCTTCTGACCTCAGACACACTGCTGACACACAGCCTCTGACCTCAGACACACTGCTGACACACAGCCTCTGACCTCAGACACACTGCTGACACACAGCCTCTGACCTCAGACACACTGCTGAGCTACAGCCTCTGACCTCAGACACACTGCTGAGCTACACAGCCTGTGACCTCAGACACACTGCTGACACACAGCCTCTGACCTCAGACACACTGCTGAGCTACAGCCTCTGACCTCAGACACACTGCTGACACACAGCCTGTGACCTCAGACACACTGCTGATACACAGCCTCTGACCTCAGACACACTGCTGACACACAGCCTCTGACCTCAGACACACTGCTGAGCTACACAGCCTCTGACCTCAGACACACTGCTGACACACAGCCTCTGACCTCAGACACACTGCTGAGCTACAGCCTCTGACCTCAGACACACTGCTGAGCTACACAGCCTCTGACCTCAGACACACTGCTGAGCTACACAGCCTCTGACCTCAGACACACTGCTGAGCTACACAGCCTGTGACCTCAGACACACTGCTGACACACAGCCTCTGACCTCAGACACACGGCTGACACACAGCCTCTGACCTCAGACACACTGCTGAGCTACACAGCCTCTGACCTCAGACACACTGCTGACACACAGCCTCTGACCTCAGACACACTGCTGAGCTACACAGCCTCTGACCTCAGACACACTGCTGAGCTACAGCCCCTGACCTCAGACACACTGCTGAGCTACAGCCTCTGACCTCAGACACACTGCTGAGCTACACAGCCTCTGACCTCAGACACACTGCTGACACACAGCCTCTGACCTGACACACTGCTGAGCTACACAGCCTCTGACCTCAGACACACTGCTGAGCTACACAGCCTCTGACCTCAGACACAATGCTGAGCTACACAGCCTCTGACCTCAGACACACTGCTGCGCTGCACAGCCTCTGACCTCAGACACACTGCTGACACACAGCCTCTGACCTCAGACACACTGCTGAGCTACAGCCCCTGACCTCAGACACACTGCTGAGCTACAGCCTCTGACCTCAGACACACTGCTGAGCTACACAGCCTCTGACCTCAGACACACTGCTGAGCTACACAGCCTCTGACCTCAGACACACTGCTGAGCTACACAGCCTCTGACCTCAGACACACTGCTGAGCTACACAGCCTCTGACCTCAGACACACTGCTGAGCTACACAGCCTCTGACCTCAGACACACTGCTGAGCTACACAGCCTCTGACCTCAGACACACTGCTGAGCTACACAGCCTCTGACCTCAGACACACTGCTGAGCTGCACAGCCTCTGACCTCAGACACACTGCTGCGCTGCACAGCCTCTGACCTCAGACACACTGCTGAGCTACACAGCCTCTGACCTCAGACACACTGCTGAGCTACACAGCCTCTGACCTCAGACACACTGCTGACACACAGCCTCTGACCTCAGACACACTGCTGACACACAGCCTCTGACCTCAGACACACTGCTGACACACAGCCTCTGACCTCAGACACACTGCTGAGACACAGCCTCTGACCTCAGACACACTGCTGACACATAGCCTCTGACCTCAGGAAACACTGCTGAGACACAGCCTCTTACCTTAGGGTACTCAAAGCTGAGCTACATACCACCTCTGACCTCAGAGTATATACAGTGAGCTACAGCACACTGTTTTTCAGTAAAGCATGCAATATACATGTATACACACATGCTTATGCATAAACACGTGCATGCCACTTGATCTTACTTACACGCAGTGCATATGCTGGAAGGAGACAGGCCTCATGTCTAGATATGTGGGCTAGAGCCTTCCTAGTAACTGTTCTGTGACCCCCTTCTGACCCCTTCGCCAAGATGCTCCTCAGTCACTGTTGGTGGGGGAGTCTCTCCTGTGATCTATCCCAGCCCTGTCCTCAAACCTCAGGCAAGTAACAATGCTGGACACCACACTGGCTTCAGGGCCCCTCTAAGCGGCCTGTTCTTCCCACACTGGGCATCTCTTCCACATGAGGTGGAGGCCTGGGTGCACCCCGTGGGTACTGCCGTGGCTTTTCCTCCTTATGTAGTCCAGCCCAGAGTTGTGGGAAGGCACTGCCATCGTCAACAGAGCCCAGGGCCATGGATCTCTGAGCCCAAAGCCCCAGGCGGCTTTGTGTTTTTGGTGGAGCTGCACGGTCAGTGTTCAGGTTCCCACATCCTCCAGGCCCAGAAGGGAGGACACAGAGGGAGAAGATGCACTGAGCACACAGCCAGCAGATGTGCTTAGGGGTCAGCGGGGCATCTCCAAGGACCGTTGGTGGATAGACAAAAAGACAGCAGGAAAGTGGCCTCGGGGCAGCCACGGCTCCACTCCAAGGTGGCTGGGGTAGACTCACCTGTCGAGTACATAGCCAAGGGCCTTGTGCCGGACACCGGAGTACACGGAGGGACTTGTCTCCCAGGCCACCAGGTTGGATGCATCATGGAAGAGATGGATGTTCACCAAGTCAAAGGCACTGTAACCGAGAGAGAACCGGGCCAGGTGACAGGGAGACGGGACCCCCATACAGCCCTCAGCGGGCGGCCGCAGCAACGTGCACCTGCCCACTCTGTCCTTGGCTGCTCCAGGCTGACCCAAAGCAGCCCCTTCCCAAAGTCAAGGAAAAGGGAAGATGTCTTTCAGTTCCATAGAGCTCAATTCACGTGCATACACTGCAGGACTTTCTGAAGGCGTAGACTAGAACATGAGAATACATCTTTCCTGGCCGAACCTCCCAGGAGCCCATGCTACTTCTCAGTGCACCACAGCTGGAGCTCCAACACGGCATGGAGAGGAGCAGGTGGGCCATCTTTACTCTGAGCACATGCCTGAGCAGAGCCTCAGCAGAGGGGCATAAGGCTGGAATCTGGTGTGTGTCAGCCTTCAGAGACCCTCTGCATCTCCCGGTTGTCATAGGCACACCACCTTCAATAAGGCCTACCACTGCCCCCAGGAGGCTCACAGCCCCCTCTCCAGGACAATGGTGCTCAGCATTGCCCCTTCTCACAGTGGCACGAAGGAGAGTCTTGCCGGACTGCATCCCCCTCCTCCCTGTGGTCACCAGCAATCCACACCCTGGGTGTCCTGGGCATGTCCTGAGACCAAGAGCACAGGCAGAAGAGGCCGCCACCCTCTGCATTAGACACCCAGCACTGTAGCTTCATCCTGACATCTCTTTGTCTCCCTCTCCCTCCTCTCTTCTCTGGGCTGTGTCCTGAGCAGCCCCTAGAGGCTTGGGCCAGAGTCTCAGCTGAGCCACAGAGAAACTAGAGTCTCTGTGGTCTGTTGTAGAGCAATCAACCCTTGGGCCGTGAAGCTTCAGAGAAGTCCCTGGGAGGAAAATAGAAAGAAGTGTATGGGGACCCCACTCCTGGGGGAGGGGAGGGCTGTGCAGGTCACCAGGCGGCGGAAGGCCCAGCAGGAAGCCAGGGGTGTGGCTACTGTATGCATCTGCAGACTCTAACTTGCATTGGACCCAGACGCCTCCCTGGCAGCTTGCTTGTCCATTGGCTCTGGCACACGGAGCCTATGCCTGAGGAGGGCCCAGAGCGTCCCTTGTCTACGGCCATTTGTGCCGGTGCAGGACCGCCTGCCTACATATAGGAGATGGGTCACCACATTCCATGTCATACCAGGTCACCTCCAAACCCAAACCAGTCAGGTGGCTGGGGTCCCCATCCAAAATGAGCACGGCCTTCAGTGGCACATTCAAAACCCACAGGCAAGACCCAGCAGAGGGTCAGAGGCTGCTCTGGAAGCCATAAAGCAGAGACAGTGTGATGTCATGTAACATACCAGTCAGCAATACACCACCGTGTCCGGATGAAGCCTTTTCTTGACCACTTACACTGAAAAATCAAAATCACACAGTGAGCAGCAACAAGTGAACTGGGAAGACCACACGGCCCTCTGCGTTGGACCGGATGGGGAGCTTTCCACGCCGCAGTCCCACCCACCTTCCAGCACCAGGCACTCATGGGGGACCAGGACCCCAGAGAAGCCACCCTGCTGGCCATGAGTTGGCCTGACCAAGAGAGTGACAGATATCTGATGTGGAAGGCCCCACAGCCATGGTATGTGGACACGGGAGACCCCAGCAGGCCACGGTGTGTGGACACGGAAGGCCCCAGCAGGCCACGGTGTGTGGACATGGGAGACCCCAGCAGGCCACGGTGTGTGGACATGGGAGACCCCAGCAGGCCACGGTGTGTGGATACAGGAGGTGCCAGCAGGTCACGGTTGTGGACACAGGAGGTGCCAACAGGCCACGGTGTGTGGACACGGGAGACCCCAGCAGGCCACGGTGTGTGGACATGGGAGACCCCAGCAGGCCACAGTGTGTGGACACAGGAGGTGCCAGCAGGCCACAGCTGTGGACACAGGAGACCCCAGCAGGCCACGGTGTGTGGACACAGGAGACCCCAGCAGGCCACGGTGTGTGGACACAGGAGACCCCAGCAGGCCACAGTGTGTGGACACAGGAGGTGCCAGCAGGCCACGGTGTGTGGACACGGGAGACCCCAGCAGGCCACGGTGTGTGGACATAGGAGGCCCCAGCAGGCCACGGTGTGTGGACACGGGAGACCCCAGCAGGCCACGGTGTGTGGACACAGGAGGTGCCAGCAGGCCACGGTGTGTGGACACGGGAGACTCCAGCAGGCCACGGTGTGTGGACATGGGAGACCCCAGCAGGCCACGGTGTGTGGACACAGGAGGCCCCAGCAGGCCACAGTGTGTGGACACGGGAGGTGGTAGCAGGCTATGGTATGTGGATCCTGCCTCACAATGGGGCGTGTGCTGTGGTCTGATGCCGAATCCCTATACTGAAATTCAACTACCACTGTCATGTACGGAGGCTTGGGGCCTCTGAGGAGTGGCTGAGACCTGAGGTCCCTTCTGAGGAGGGGGTGACTGTCTTTTATAAGATGACTGCTGTGGAAGGCTGTTTAGCAAAGGAGTCTGGTCCTTTCTGATTCCTGTCTCCACTGGGGACACAGTGTTCCCCTGGAAGATGCAGAAACAAGGTGTGATCGTGGGAGAAGGAGGTGGCCTCATTGGACACTCAATCTGTAGGCACCAGATCTTGGACTCCCAGACTCTAGAACTATGGAAAATAAATTGCTTTGTAAATCACCCCACCTAAGGTGTTCCTGTAAGCCAGCTGCTAACAAGGAAGAGGTCAGGATGAAAACCCTGGTGTCAGCTTCTACAACGCTCTGCCTGCCTGAAGACTCTGCTCTAGTCGAGGACTGGCACTCATTTCCCACATTACCCTCTGCTAGCTTGAAAAACGATGAGTCACAGCAGCGGCTCAGGATGGGAAAGAGTGGGGCACGAGGCCACGTCCAGACAGCCGCATCCACAGCCACAGGCGATCCTGCCCGCAGGGCCACGCTGCCTTTCCCACCATCTCTACTAGCTACCACTCCTGTACACAGAGAAGCCAGCACAGCTGACTGTCGAGCAGGATCTGTGGCATAATGGAAGGTTCTGGGCCAGCCTGCCCACATCAAAAGATATGAATGAAAATCTGAGCTTCAACTCTTCCTTTCTTGGAGGAAACTTTCACTTAAAAGCTGCAGAGGAGGGCCGCCTGGGGTTAGGGGAGAGCTCCACAGGCTGAGGCCCACCCGGCCTGCCTGCCACACCCAGGCAGCATGTCTGCTGTGAGGGAGCAGCGGGGGGGTCCCTGGCTCAGCCACCTTCTGAGGGGTTTCCCGCAGGAGCAGTGGACCTGTATCATTGGCATCGCACCCCAATTTCTGACCCCAAATTGAACGCATCCATGCTCTGCCTAGAACTCAATATACAGCTGTTAATAGCTTTAGACCAAAAATGAATTGCTCTTCCCCTCAGTTTTCACATTTATGTAAACTGGGTAGATGGGTATGTATCTTGAATGCATGCACACACGTGTATCTTTAGACATTAACTTTCCATAATAAAGGGGCATTATTTCAATATTAATTATTATAGACTGAATACGTAAAACAGGAGACATCATGTTATATATAGATATATATGTAATTATATATAATTATAGTTTTAGAATTCTAACTAGATTTGAGACTTCTCATTAAGGTGCAGATGAATCTCAGGAAATCCAAGTTAACATTGTCATAACCCAGTACATTAAGAAATACTGTAGAAAACGTTCCCTGGAGCCACGTGGGAGCCACGCTCACCCTGCCACCATGAATGTCTGGGCTACATTTCCAGACCACTCGTGGTTGTGCGAGGCAAACATACGCCTCTGCCATCTGACTGCCTCATGGCTGGCGACGCTGGCGCCTGCCAAGACCTGGCCAGGGTGTGGGACCTGGCCTCCCACCCAGTCTAAGGACAGGGCTGCCCGTGCGGCCCTTATGCCCTTTGGGGACCTGCCCTCACCACGCCCTCAGCACTGGCCCTGCCCAAGACCACTAGCTCCATGAGAAAGGAGCAGAGCTGGAATGCACTTCCCAATTCTTAGGCCAGAGCTTCCTCCTCCTGTGACCATGTTCCATTGCCTGAGCACTCAGGGCAGATACTGGTGGTGGCAGGGTACCTTCCTGATGGGAAGCTCTTCCGTGTGGACCCCTCAACACCCCCACTGGCAAAGCACCTGTGTACACCCGTGCAGATACCCAATACACTCTGATGCCAAGTTACCCATGCACACAGGCATCGCTCTGACAAAATGCGTGACATGCCATGCGGGTGCCCAACACACACTGATGCTGTGGTACCCATGCACACGGGCACCGCTAACAGAACACATGAACACAGCATGGGGGTACCCGACACATACTGATGCCGAGGTACCCCCGCCACGGGCACCACTCTGATGAAATGCATGTGTGCCCACGCCAGTGCCAACACACAGAGAAGTCCCTGTGTGTGCAGGCACCGAGTGCTCATGCAGCACCGGGGAGGCCGGGCGAGTGTGGCAGAGGACACTGAAGGCTGAGTTCAGCCCCTCAGGAAGCCCAGGGGTCCCCAGCTGGAGGTACCAACCTTGGGTCAGGAAACCGAAGCAGGGTGAGTGTGGGTGGGGTTAGGGCTCCTCAGCGTCTGATGGATCTCTTCCCATCAGCCATGCTGTAGAACTTTCTAGTCACTAATCACCTTCCAACTCCTCAGAGCAGTCAGAAGAGTGCCGCATTTGTGGGGAGGCTCTTTGAGGGTCACACCACAGAAATGAAAGGCATACAGCCTGGCCAGGAGGGCGCACCGCTCCCCCCTGTGGTCTCTGCTCGGCCCCATTAATGAGGTGCCTTGAGCCGGCAGATGGATTGCAAACACAGGCAGCTTCATCTACTAAAAAGACAGCATAAATCGCGGTGGAGAAAAGAGGGGCTGCGGAGGGCGCAGCCAGGCGGCCGTGCCGTGGAAGGCCTGCTCAGAGCATTAGTGGAATTAATTCATCTTTCATGACGCTAGCAGCAGGGCCTGTGATCTATGGTAACAACCAATTTCTCACCACGGGCAAGGGGAAAAAAATGACTCACCCCGATCGACTACACAAATCTGCTTTTTAAAAATGGCCTCGCATTATCTGGAGTGCTGCTCCCTGAGGCGTCATCTGAAATTCATACTGAGCCAAAAGCACCCATAAATCAGGGGAGAAAGTTTTGTTAGTTTTAGATGCGCAGGCCAGTAATTATTTGGAATTGCATTATGCCTCCATCACGGTAATTACATTTAGATTATCCTTAAGTGATGGTAATAAAAGAGAGAGAGATCAGTCTTCCACTAATTCTCTCCCCCAAAATGCACTCCAATGCAGTGGAGGTTGCAGGGAGACTCAGGAGATGGTGGGAGGCTTAGGAGGCTGCAGGAGGCAGAGGAGGTGATGGGAGGCTCAGGAGCCTGAGGAGGCTGGGGAGGCTGAGGAGGCTCAGGGGGCTGGGGAGGCTGAGGAGGCTCAGGGGGCTGGGGAGGCTGAGGAGGCTCAGGGGGCTGTGGGAGGCAGTGGGAGGCTCAGGAGGCGGTAGGAGGCTCAGGAGGCTGGGGAGGCTGAGGAGACTCGGGAGGCTGGGGAGGCTGAGGAGGCTGGGGAGGCAGTGGGAGGCTCAGGAGGCTCAGGGGGCTGGGGAGGCTGAGGAGGCTCAGGGGGCTCTGGGAGGCAGTGAGAGGCTCAGGAGGCTGGGGAGGCTCAGGAGGCTCAGGGGGCTGGGGAGGCTGAGGAGGCTCAGGGGGCTGGGGAGGCTGAGGAGGCTCAGGGGGCTGGGGAGGCTGAGGAGGCTCAGGGGGCTGTGGGAGGCAGTGAGAGGCTCAGGAGACTGGGGAGGCTGGGAGGCTCAAGGGGCTGTGGGAGGCAGTGAGAGGCTCAGGAGACTGGGGAGGCTGGGAGGCTCAAGGGGCTGTGGGAGGCTGAGGAGGCTCAGGAGGCTGGGGAGGCTCAGGAGGCTCAGGGGGCTGGGGAGGCTGAGGAGGCTCAGGGGGCTGTGGGAGGCAGTGAGAGGCTCAGGAGGCTGGGGAGGCTGAGGAGGCTCAGGGGGTTGTGGGAGGCAGTAGGAGGCTCAGGAGGCGGTAGGATGCAGTAGGAGGCTCAGGGGGCTGTGGGAGGCAGTGAGAGGCTCAGGGGGCTGGGGAGCTGAGGAGGCTCAGGGGGCTGTGGAAGGCAGTGGGAGGCTCAGGGGGCTGGGGAGGCTGAGGAGGCTCAGGAGGCTGGGGAGGCTGAGAAGGCTCAGGAGGCTGGAGAGGCGTGGGGAGCTGAGAAGGTGGTGGGAGGCTCGTGAACCCAGCCAGTGGCCCCCCCAGGCTGTGGAGGCTCCACATGACCTGCACAGGTGCCAAGCCTCCTGTGACACGCTTTGGGAGGTCTGGCGCTTTAAGAAAGTTAGATGTTTCCTGCTGTTTTCAC